GAGAGAGAGAGAGAGAGAGAGAGAGAGAGAGAGAGAGAGAGATCACAGCTCGGAGTGGACCGTTCCGTGCCGCTCCAGGAACAGTCCGGGGACAGCCCGGGGAGAGAGCGAGGGAGGGAGGAGAGAGTGGAGGGTGCTCCTCCGGTCCGATTGTGACAGCCCCTCGGGTAGCGGCCGATTACATTATTGGCCCATTATGGGGTGCCGCCGACCGCCGCCGTATGCTGCATGTCGGTGGATGTTCATACTGAACAGGGAAGGGAGGATGATGCTCAATCGGAGACGTGCGGCCTCGAGACGGTGCAGAGTGGGAATTTGAGTGTGCCGTTTGTCATGGAGCGTCACCCAAGTACTTTCAGATTGCTGATGATCTTATCAACATTTATTGACTTTCCTAGCTCCAAAAACCACGGCGTTCTTTTCAGTTGTGCTCAATAGGTATACAAATGACGACACATTTCAAGGGTCTACCACTCCACCAGTATATTAGCCTTGCCCATTTTTTCTCTTTTTTTCTTTTTAGAATACCATCCCAGCCCGGCTCAGCCGGACCCCCAGCCTCTCGTCCCTGCCCGTCCCCCTCTGTCCCTCCCGGCAGTGTGTCCCCTCCGCCGGCAGTTTCTGCGTTTCCGTCGGCGGCCGGTTCCGTCGGGACGCGTGCCACTTCCGGATGACGTCACAGGGCGCCACAATGACGTCATTGAGGGTGGCCAGCGGGCGTGACGACGAGAGGCGCCGGCAGCGGCCGAGGCGCCCTCCCAGTCGCGCCGGGACTTGGCCTGCCATGCTGGCAGTGGCCACCATTGCCCGCAGAGAACGCTGAGAACCAATATGAGGTGACCAAGAACTGTGGTATTGGCTCTATGTTTGGCCTCATGCCGTCAATACTTCAAAAAGGTGTAATAAAATCTTAAAAAACATCTGAGAAGGAGCGGACTGAGCCTTGTGGATAAGAAAACTATGTGGACTTTTGGATTTTCCTTGTGGACTTTCGGTTGAAAGTCAACGGACCCATTACGACATTTGAACGCGGTCACATCCCCAAAAATATATCAAAATTTGCACCTTTTCTTCTGCTTTTATATGCCGAAGACCATCACATTTCTATTCCTGCATTACCGTCCACTTCCTAGGACCATTCCTCCCACTCTTCTCCCTCTCTGATTATTCTCACCACATGTCGCCTTGCAAATATGTTTACCCGCACATCAGCGGGGCACCGGACAGACTCGCGGACAGGGGTGCCTTTGGAGACGGTCTGCGGCGCGCCACCCGCCGCCAGCGCGCCACTAAGTGCCGCGGCCGCAGCCATAAACTCCCCTCTCTACCCGGGATTAATGGGGAATGGCAGCGGCGGCGGCGGCGGCGGCGGTAGGAGGCAGAGACTAGAGAGTGGCAGCGAACACGGGCGTTAGAGGCCGGGCTGGTGGGCGGCGCGGCGGTGGGCCGGCGGCGGCTGGTTGGCAGGGAGGCGTTACAGTGGTGGGGTGGCCGGGTTGTTCCATGAAAAGTTGATCTAAGTACAAACACTGTTAGCAGATGGTGGTACCGATAGCAGAGATAATACTTAGGAATATATGAGCTTCTACGGCGACCGAGAAGTTTCGTTGGACACCAGATGGTTAGAATATCACAGCACTAAAATATCGTGTCGATAGAGGAAATGGGAAAAGCGACGGGCAAGGAGAGGGGAAAGCTGAGTATCAGATCCTGAGACATCCATTAGAAGACACTGCAGCCCGCCCAAAAGCGACGAATAATTTCTGTGAAATCGATGAGCATGTGAATCGCGATACCGATTATTTTCTTACGAGAGGGGAAAGCTGAGTATCAGATCCTGAGACATCCATTAGAAGACACTGCAGCCCGCCCAAAAGCGACGAATAATTTCTGTGAAATCGATGAGCATGTGAATCGCGATACCGATTATTTTCTTACTTTACCCATTGCAATTTGCCTAGGGAACAAAATATATCAATTGATCAAATCAACTTCAATATCTGATTTCATCGACACCCTAAATTGAAACATTTACAACGCATTACGCCCCTGCCGTAAATAAGTAACATCATCGTCACCAAATCACGACAGACGAGCCCCCGCGCGGAATCAAGCGGCGATTTCCCATATTCGTTATCCACGGGTCATTACAGATCGGCCTGTGCCCCAGGGCCGGCGCCGGACCCCTCTGACCCCCCTCCCCCTCCCGGCCCCCCGCTTGGGGCGCAGCTGCCTCTCTGTTGTGATCGCCGCGGTAACACTGAGTTAATGACAGCAGACGGTGATATAGAGCCATCGGAGAGTCTTTGTGCCGACCGTCGACACTTTGATCAGTTTGTTGTCGGCAGACATAGAGTCGGCGTCGATGATATGGGGGGGGGGGATGATGTGCACTCCCAGCCGCAGCCAGCGGCGGCGACGTTAAAATGATACACTCCGGGCCGGGATCGGTCATTGAAAGGCCGAATACCAAACGTTGATAAATTTAGGAAACACAGCTTTTTCGTCGTTACGTTTTATATTATGGAATCTCGTTTATTGTAAATTTTGTAAATGTTGTGTGCTATTCAAAGGGAACATACCGGCGCTTGTTTTTTCCACTTTCTCATATCCACAAAACCCGTACAACCATCTCTCCCTGCCTCTTTCTCCTTCCCTCTCTCTCTCTCTCTCTCTCTCTCTCTCTCTCTCTCTCTCTCTCCCTCCCCACTGACCGGAGTAGCGGTGGCCTGCGGTCATCTCTCGCCCCCCCCCCCCCCCCCCCCCAGCCACGGTAATAACTCGCCGGAAACGAGCGCATCCATTCTGCGCGCCAAAACAAGATGGCGGGAGCGCGGCCGCAGGAAGCTGACAAGGAGGCAGGGCGCGCCACCAGGAAGCGCGCCAAAGGACGGAGGACGCCGCTGGTGCCCGGTGAGGGACACGGAGGATGGGCTAGGTGGAGAAGAGAGATTAGGATTAACGTGGGATGGATGCCACATGATCTTGTCTTATGTTTGGATGTGCCATTTTAGGCGAGAAATTTAGAAGACCGTTGAAATTCAGCAACATATTTCTTTCACGTTCTCGCTGCCTCAGACATAACATTTAATCTATTTCATGAATACTTTCATTAGGCATGTATCTTTGATCACTTTTCGAATGGCGGGAACTGTTCACAAACCTTTCAATTGATTTCCCTCGATACACAAGAAAGCTTCGTTTCTTTTATCGGTAAGTTTTGCTTAGGTACTTAAATACACACCAGACGTAGGAAATATTATGTTTTCACAATCAGCCTAGACGGACGATCAGCTCATCCAACTCATTCTGTCATGGTCACCAATGAGCATCCGCATCCGTAGCCGTAACCAAGCATAGCAGCTATAGCCAAAGTTCAGCCGACTCTGGCCACTCACTATCGGTCGTCTGCAAACTCCCGGCTAACTCGGCCTAACTCTGTTCACGTGTCGGCCACCGTCGTCCGACTTTGCCACCACCCGGGCCCGGGCTCCTCTCCTCTCTCTTTCTCTCCCATTCTCTGCCCGCCCGTTCCACCCAACTCAACTCCCTTCCATCTTCTCAAAGAGACCATTCCAGAAACAACCCCTATTCGCCTCAAAACAATGGCAATCTACCTTCCGCACTCGACTGAGACGCCATCTTAACTTGATTACGTCATTTCCGCCTTATTGATTTCCTCCGAGATTCGCCGGCGGCGCTGGCAGCCTCCGCTGCTGCGGCCCCACCTCCGCTGAGGAGACATCATTGGCGGCCGGCCGGGCCGACGGCAGTCGCCGGCTTCTGGCATGATATATGGCCACTTGAGATGGCTAGTTGGGTAGGGGATGGCGTATTTTAGCCGGGCCCATTGTGCGCCCGCAGCGCTCCGCTTTGTCGTTTCTCCCGAATCGGAGGTGGTCGGGGAAAACTGGCGCGGCCACCGCAGAACAATGGCGGACGCTGAGCTTTGTTCGCCGAGACGGCGCCGCTCCGAAAACCGGCGGGCGGCGGCGGACCCGCGGCTGCATATAGAAAACGGCTAAACTAAGGCTTCGAAATTAAATTTATTTTTTTTGTTGCAAATTTCAAAATAACGAACAAGTAATGCATTATTTGATCCGGAACTTCAGTGGAAATCATTTACAAATCAAGAGGACCTCCACAGGGTAACTTCCATATATTCACAGCTTATTCGTCGATGCTGCTCAATTTTCCACAAGTTAACCAGCAACCATGTCATCATTTTTATCGAAGCATAAACCGAATCCGCGTATGATCAATCGCCTCAGAAGTTCAATTTCCACGCTAATCGCCAGCTTAGCCAAGTCAATAAATGCGCACTGCGCCTAATCCGCCTCAGCTCCGTCTCGTTGGCGGCGGAGCGCACATCTGCGGCGAACTGAGCGCATTAATCGAGCCGCCCTGCCCAGTTGAACGGTCAATGACCGGAAACCGGCCAAATCCACAGATATACCGGCTCCGTCCCGACCGACTGATGTATGAGTTAATCAGCGCTTACTAGAGCCGCTGTGAGCTTATTACGGCCACACGCGGCTATGAAGCGGGCTGGAGGTTAAATATATTGACTTTAAATGAACAGAGGGTTGAATGAAGTGCATCTGTGAGGAAGGCCTTGGCTTTTCCTTTTCCTGCCATATTTAGTTTTGCTCGGAATCGTCAAGTTGCATGAAAATATTCACATATTCAGACAAAAATATGTTTGTTTTCACCCATAACAGTACCATACGTAAACAGTAAAAATCATACGGCAGCGGTGGTTATTCAGTAGCGTCGTTAGTCGAGTGTGTGTTGAGTTATATGTGAGAGACGAGTGTCAAAAGCCGTCACCGATAGTCACCCCTCAGCGTCGCTAGTTACCTGGCCTAGGGTCGTACAGGTTGTCAATCAGGCGTCTTTCGTCGTTTTCTAGAAACAAAAACAATGCTACAGTCAGTCGTCGGAAGTCAGATAAAGTCTCCCGTGGTTACTTATCACACCGCATTCAATTATTGGAGTTCCTAGATCTATCGATGGCACAACAGACTATTGTCAACAGTTATAATGAACGTGCATCGGTCACGAAAAGTCAAAACGAGCCGGAGCGTCGGCATGAATGGCTTGGAGAGAATAAGCCAGTCACTATCCTTGATCATTAGATGGATAGCCAATGTTGAGACAAATTTGATACTACGCCAATTTAAACTTTTCGTCATATCTAAATGATACTAACCCATTTTTAGTAAAATGCTGTAATACACTGAACTACATTGCGATGAATACGATATGTTGTATCTCTGCCCTTCTCTATCGACGCCGCCCACCACACCAAATATTTACCCAAATAATCACCCCCACAGCCCTTTTCCGACCATTTCCTCCCTCCCACACACACCACACACCACCGCCGCCACAACACAATCACGGGGGGTCGGCGGCGGGCGACAACGATTATCCACGGGCACTGCAGCCCACTGGAGCCCGACCGGAGCCACTGGAGCCCACTGGAGCCCGACCGGAGCCACTGGAGCCCATTGGAGCCCGACTGGAGCTCAGTGGAGCTCAGTGGAGCCCGACGGACGCCGCTGAGAACCGCTGGCTAAGCGGCGGCGGCGGCGGCGGTGGCGGCGGTGGGAGCGGTCCGTGGTGCCGGCCGGAGAAAATGGCCGACAGGAGAGGAGAAGAGAGGAGAGAGAAAAGGAGTGAGGGGGAGGAGACGAGACGAGAGGAAAGGATATGAGAGGAGAGGAGAGGAGAGCAGATGAGAGGATAGGAGAATAGAGGAAAGCAGAGGGACATAGTAACAGTAGAATAGAGCAGGTAGCAGAAAAACGCAGCGCAGGTTTTGCGAAGTGGGAGCGGTTTTGTACATTTAAACACTAATAGCAGTACCCCACTTTTGGCAAGGAGTTTGGTACCAGCCCAGTACCTCCAAAGGCCACCTATGACATTGATAAATCGTATGTGCCCACTGCAAGCATTTGCAGGCGTTCCACTTACAAATGGCGAGCATATTTACGAAAGATGTTTTGGGGCCCACCTCTTGTCAATACGTGGTAGCAAGACTGATAGTCCAATGCTCCAAAGCACACATGTGAAAACAACTTCTCAAAAGCTTTGAATTCAGTTGAATAGCAAACATTTGAAAACGCGAATGGAGTATGTCCGTGGTTATCACTTTAAACAGATCGAAGCCCACGAAACATGACTGGTTAGACCGTTTGGATTTTGGCAAGTTCCTCGAAACTTGTGTTTTCTTTGCTGCTCAAAGAACATTTTTCCTTTCACATTGGCGTATAACTAGTTTACGTTTCTCCTTTCAAAAGGTAACTACCAGCCCAGACCGTTCCAACAGCATCATGTTTGCCTGATGGCGTTTCAGCTCCCCAAAGATAAGCGCTCATATTATTCAAGTTTTTCATGTTTCACCCTCACGGCAATCCCGTTTCCCAAGTATCCCCCCGTGCCGCCGTTTCCGTTTCCCGACTCACCGTCGTCGCGTTTCCTTTTGCCGATGTTGTTTCCGTTGGGGTCCTGCGCGCCGATGCCCAGGATGCCGTTGATGCTGTAGCTGGGTCGGATGTCCCTCAGGTCGTGCGCGGCCGGCGGCGCATGCGCAATGACCGAGGTCTGACCGATGGGTGAGGGCAGGCCGCCCGTGTGCCCGTGCTGCTGGTGGCTCTGGCCAGAGCCGCCGTGGCTCCCCCGCACCTTCTCCGCCGCCTTGTTCCGCACAATTCTACAGAACGGGAGGCAGAGGTCAGAATTCAGCATAAGAATGGGGAAAAATTGCATGCTAAGTGGTTGCTGCTATCTTATTCCAAAACATACATCACTTACTCGAATGCATGTAATTGGGCACGCTGCCAACAAAACAATTGTAATTATTTACTGAGGAACTAAGAAACCCAAAGCGTGTTCGAATTTTATAAAAATGTCTAGCGAAATATACATTTAAGACCATTGGTGAATCAAGCCAAACTGTCACAATGGCTGGAATAAAAATTAGAAAGGCCACCCATTTTCGTTCAGTTTCAGTTTTAGCTACCAGCCGGTGAATACGGCCCAGCCCGTATACTGCCGCTGCCATCAGCCGCTGTGGGCTCGGTCTCGGTAATCCGATTGGGAGGTATGCTGTGCCGCAGTGACTGCGTGTTCGGCGGCACAGTCTACCCCCGGAACTGGCAGGGGCGGCTCAGGGAGGGACGGAGCGGACGGACGGACAGAAGGAAAGCGGGCGGCGAGACGTTGGGGCGATTTAACGGTTGTGATATTTCTTTCCTCAATATGATATAGCATAAATAGCGCAAATGTGTCTTATGCAAGTAGCACTAACATGAAGGTGATAGTTATATTGTGATATAGTCGAACAAATACGAGACAAAGTAGCGCGATGCGGGAGAGTGGTTGGCATGATTAAGAAAATGTGAAACTTTGGCGCAATTTGAACCGAACATCTGTTATTCAATTCGTTTAAAGCGTGTCACCTAATTGGAAGATGATATGGGACAGCCGTCTGACTTTCCGGTCTCGATCCGTCGGCCCACCTAGGCCACTGACGCGGCACACCAGGCCAACAAAACTGCCGCAAACAGCTATCTGACCGGCCGGCGGGCGCCCACTCTGGCAAACTTCGCCACTCCAGCCGGCCGCTTCTATTCAGTGGCGCGCGAAACTCGCAAAGAAAAATGCCCGCCGGTCGCCTGTGGACCGTAGCGCGCCGACATTACCCTGATTGGCGCCACGCGCCGCACAAATGGCGGGTAAACATGGCGCCTGCTAACCCGTTCATTAGTGTAATTCGCCTCAAGCGGCGGAGAGTCTGCTGAAAGGAGCAGACCACCGTCAACATTGACTTAGCGGTCCGCGACAGAACATCGCACAACAGAACAGCGCTGCGGGGCGCTGCCAGCGACCGCCGCCGCGCGCCGCCGAAAATCAACAATTTGACTCACAACCTGAACGGGGTGTTTTAGCCGGGCGGCGGCGGCGCGGCGGCGACAAGGGTGCCGGGCCGCCCACTAATGGTACTTCTATCGGACGCGCGCGGAGCTCCCCGCTGGGATGTCGCGTAAAGTGAGCGGCGAGTAAATCGCTGAATTCAGATCAGCGAACATATGTGCCCGGCTCCCCCGGGGAGCGCGCGCGTCCGCCGGGACATGGCGCGACAGATGTGTGACTTTTGGCGCCAGCGCAGATTAATAGAGCCATTGAATGCGAATACACGGCTCCCCGTCGACAACACCATAACAGACGCGTCTTTTGGCGCGAATTATGATCAACTAATGAACAGCGCTGGACAGGGGCGCCTGGCGACAACATGCGCGTGAAAAATAAACCAAATTTCGAGTGCTCTTGCGTTAGAGCAGTAAACCAAATCATCCACACTTAACGTGCCGAAAATCTGGCGGCTCCCCGCGCGGCGCAGGCAGCGTTTAAAAGCCGAGCAGCTGTCGACACGTACGGTCTTATTAGATCAGTGCGCGGGCGCCTTTCATGTGCTGTTACTTTCAACTGGCTGAGCCCATTGGGGGGCGCCCGGCTCCCTCTCGATTCGATAAACGGACACATTCGACAAAGGCGAACGCAAGGCAGGCACTTTGCTGCTCAGACTCGCTGAATGCATTAAAATAGAGACAGGTTCACAGGCGAACATCTCTAACACTATACATGATGTTACATTTATTTTTACCCCTTTTAGAAGCTATTTTCCGCTCTCGGTCGGTCGCTTCTCTGGCCGAGCGGCGCCGCCGCGGTGTCCTGCAAACGAGTGACAACGCGCCGCCGGGGCCCTCATTTCTCTCAATTGGCTGTATTTGGTACTTGAAAGCCACTTAGGGGCCGCCGCGGCACCCAATAGAGACGCCGCCGGTGTATTTATTGCGGATTGGGCCGGCCGGCCGGGGGGAGGGGGGGGGGGGGGGAGGACGGACCGCAGCGGTCGGGGCCGGTCGGAAAAGTGGCCGCGACTGCCGAGTGAGCTACTGCCAGCTGAGTGCAGGGAGTGGAGGATGATGATCGGAGGAAAGGGGAGGCGAAACACTGGCTGGGGAAAGTTGAGTGGTGGTCGTGAAAGGCGCGGTATAAATAAATCGTTTGGATCATTTTGATCGGATGGATACATTTACAACACTTGAAAACATTGTCACAAAACATTGCAAGAAAAGAAAGCGAGCTCAATGGAAAAAGCAGACCACCGTTCGTTGAAAAGTATCCCACCCCCACAAAAAAGCAGAGCACCATGGTTAGTTATAGATAGCAGTTAACCCGCAAAGCCATAGCAGTTGGGAAGAACGATGTTAAACCACTAATGGCCCCGACCATGACTCATTGATTCGCATGCATAAAACAACCATTGATTGAATGATTATCAAACTGCATATTGTAGGTAGATAAGGGAGCCCCTGTAAGCGGCCAGTACCTGTTGATGCTGGACACACTCGGTACGTTGTCCTGGTTGCACACATTCTCAGCCAGCAGCCGGTCGCGGATCTCCCAGGCGAACATGGTCGGGTTCTCGCGCTTGTATTTGGCGATGGCGTCCACCACGTGCGGCGTCGCCACCTTGGGCTTGCTGCCCCCGATGACACCCGCCTTGAAGCTGCCCGTCTCATAAAACCTGCGCAGTTGGCCGTGACGGCAGCGGTTAGCGCGGGAGACCGACACCGGGTCATCAGCTGAGGTCAGTCCGTCGTCACAGAAATATACGACTCGAAAACTACGCCTGCGATTTTCCCACACAAGAGACGTAGTTTTGGAGACGTATGATTTTGTGAGTCGGGTCGGCGTCTCGGTCGGTTAGTCGGGTCAGTGCCGAAGGGTGCCGGAGGTCAGGGTCACCGTCACCAAGGGTAGAAGCTCCGTCACCGAGTAGTTGAGTTAGCGCAGGCGGCGGACGGCAGAAACATCTCCGCACGAGAAATAATCGGCGGTATTTGGCTGGCTTCACAGCAAACCTTGTTCCATTATTTTGGCATCCTTTTCGGAAACAAGAAATATAAAAAGTTTTCTTTTTCAAGGCGTTTATGATTTTCACTTTTAGGAAAGTTTTACTAATTATACTTGAAGCATCAGCCAAATATCGCCGTTGTTTCGCGTTGCAGGAGGCCTCTCCCTCCCCTCCTCTCCTCCACCGCAGTTGTCCTCCACCTCCTCCACCTCTCCTCCGTCCTCTCCGTCCTCCTCTTCTACCTGTTGATGCTGGAGACGCTTGGCGCGCCCTCCTGGTCACACACCCGCTCCGCCAGCAGCCGCTCGCGGATCTCCCAGGCGAAGATGGTCGGGTTGGCCCGCTTGTATTCGGCGATGGCCTGAATGACGGTGGGCGTGGCCACCTTGGGTTTTGATCCGCCGATCACCCCCGGCCGCACCGAGCCGGTGTCATAGAATCTGGTCGGGGTGGGTGATGGGTCAGAGGGGTGCACGGGGGAGGTGTGGGGTGCACGGCGAGGGGTGCAGGGGTGTGACAAAAGGGGTGTGGGTGGGGGAGTGCATGGGGTAATAAAAATGAGGGTTGGGGCAGTGCTACTGGGGTACATTACGATACAATGTAGCAAAGCTACAACACTACGCGGGGAGTGAATGCAATCTAAGAGAGATGCAAAGCTAGGGGTGGGCCAAAAGGGAGATATGGGTGGTGGTGGATGGTTTTGGTGCCGAGAGTGCTCTCGTCTCGTCTGTCCAGCGTTAGTCCAACATCAGTCTACCGTTAGTCCAACGTTAAATGACGGAGTCTCTGTCACATTTCACAAGCAACAAAAACAGTACATAAATAATTGTGAGCAAAACATCGCCCGCCAATTACTCATACAAGTCACAGCGGCTGAGCATAAGAACCCAAATCCGCACGGTTTCAAAGACAGGCAGCCTGTCTCGCGTCCCGATCATCAAAACACAGCGGTCCGGACACCACATCACAAACGCGCGCATCGGAACGAAATAACGAGCCAAACTGCACCGCACAAACAGCCCACAAACACCGCACAAACAGTCCCCTAATTCAGCGCCCAACGAACAAAGCTGGCAACTCGTTCAAGCTCTCCTCCTTCCCGGTTTTCTGGCGTCTAAATTCTCTCAAACCGTCTCCTCTCGGGGCACAAAAACAGCCTCTGAACGTGGCGCATAGGCGACGTTTGGCGCCGCTCCTGCGCCGCGGCGACACGGCTGAATGCGGCGAAATGTGGCGCGCGCCACTCTGGCCGTCCGCGCGTCACTGCAGAGACAGATCGCCCAGATAGTTACAGTGGAGCCCTGTCGTCGGCCCGGCCGCCGAATGATCTACGTGAGCAGACAATTGATGTGAAGTGTCCGGGAGTGTGCAGTAAATTACATGACGGGAAGTGAGAGCGAGAATAATTTTGAGTCACCGAAACACTAGATGCTAAAGCAGTTATTTTAAACTTGCAAGTAAATCCACTTTTCAAAAGAAAGCCCAGTGCATGCCTACAGTCGTAAGCAGCTCAATAACTTTGCGAAGAGACGAAGTCAGCACAAGGTGATAAAACAGAAAGATAAATACAAACTACCATCACTACACCACAGCCCATCAAAACGCGGCCCACCTCTGGGGCCCAGCGCTGTCGGCGCGCGGCACTTCAGACGCCCGGAGCCATCACTCGCTCGGCGTCACTTCATACTAATAACCCTTCACACGTGCCGGGGGCCCAACAACGGCCCCCTGTGCGGGCAGCCACTTCAAACGGCGCCGGCCGCCACTCGGCCGCTGATTCAGCCGCGGAGGGTATTATTAGAACCACTGCTCAGCGGCGAGACCGACACGACTGACTCGGCAGAGACTCGATGCGAATGGTCGACGGAGCCGCTTAGAAGATGGAGAAGACAAAAGGAAACGTGGGTCGAGACTCGCTTCAGGCACATGCAGGATTAGCCAGCAAATTGTCACGAGCCTTTCAGCAAATTGCTGAACTCACGGCATCCTGCAAGGACCAAGGCGTTCATAAAAGATCACATAATTCGCAGAAAGGAAAGCAACATGATCAAATGATTGTTCAACGACATCTATTGATGCAAACCTTTGTCAACGACATATTCAATCACTCAGCTCTCTTCACATCAAAGCGAAACATTACCACACGGCCACCCCGCGGCTTGCTTCACCCACAGGTCACCACGGCAGGGCGCCGCGGTACGGGCGTCTCGCCGCGGCCGCGTCAGGAATGTGTCGGGGGTGGGTCCGGAACGCGGCGCCACAGCGCCGCCCTGTGGTGGCTGCTAATATCGCGTGTCTCCCGGATGGAGGGAGGGACGTTCGGCCGGCGCACGAGACAGCGTGGCATTCGCGCGCCGCGCCGTCTAAAAGAAACATTGTGCCCGGGAAAGAGGAGCCGTTTGGCAGAACGTGGGGGCGACAGCGCCGGGGCCTTTGAAGTTGACGACGGCGCGGAGACGGGAGGTTGACAAGTCGATTCGCCACGAGGGAGTAAAACGCAGACGCAATACGACGGCTTTGGTCGCGTTCTCGACGACCCACCATGAAAAGTGAAGCAAATTTAGAAGAATTCACCAAAGAGGACTTGGAGTCAGCGCACGGCAGATCTTTCCCAAAATAATAAAAAACAGAAAAACTAGAAGTTCTTAAAATAGCAGAGCCATGCCTAATTCAAACCACTTGCAGCGACTTACAAACGACATTAAACCATAACAATTTCCCGAGAAAAACAAGTGGACGATTCTCCAGCTGTACCATTTTGTCTCACAACAATTCACATCATACCGCCGGGCCGAAGAGGGAACAGAACACACAAACAATCCCCGGCGCAGCAGATTCCGGAACGCGCCGCACCGCCGCCGTTTTCTGCATTTCCTGCGCGGGCGGCGGGCGCGCGTGCGGCGCCTTTTTGGCGACGGGCCTTATGACAGATCGCCTCCGCTCAGTCGAACCATTGTCGACGTCGACACTGACAGGAAATGGCCTCCGAATGAGCACCGGAGCCAAATTAATTATCCCGACGGATCAACGACGCCATTGTGGGGGTGAAAAATGTCTTCATCCTCTCGCGGCGGCTGGTCGCGGCGGCTCGGTCGCGAGGCCTCGCGCGGTCCGCGGCGGCAGGAGCTCCTCAGAGGCGGTGATTATCTCAGGGTAAGAGTGTGAGAAGTGATTATCCTTGGGGTAAGAGTGTGAAGTGAGGTGCACCGCTGGCTCTGAGCTCGGACAGTGAGCGTGGAGGCGGACCAGTGACTCTGTCACGGAGCGGTGACAAATTGTCACCAGACGGACTCAGAGCCGTGGGCAGACGGTGACGGCTGCAGAGGAGCAGCAAAAACGGGACATCGGAACGCCACTGAACGAGCCGCCATACGAACCGGTCGGCGGCTCATGGACGACTCCATTTGTGGAACGAGACATTTCAGGAAAACCCTTGACATCAGACAGGATAAACTCCATCGTGAAGTGATGTTCCAAGCTCGAACTAAATCACATCCCAATAAATCAAACATTTGCAAAACAGATTTCTTTTCAGACTAAACTCTCGGCCATCAAGACTATCAAAGACCAGAGACACCGAATCAATTACCATTTCTGTTCCATCCACTAGACCACCGCGTTTATCCTCTTCTCTTTCCCCTCCTTCCTCTAGTAATGCCACCACAGGCAGCCGTACGCACCAGGCGCGGCCGTTTTATCAAATTAACGCACACGCCCCAGTGTCTGTGTACTGTCCAATGTGTCAACGACACTCCCTGTGTCAGCGGCGGCACTTTCTGGTGGCGGAGGCGACACTATGATGGCACGTGCGTTACCAGAGGATTACGCTTGTTATCCGCCACAACACGCGTTTGGTGGCGGATTGTGGGTCTGAGTGTTTGTACGAGGGAGTGGGGCGGGATTTGGGCCCGAGTGTTTGTATGGGAGAGTATGGCGGTGGGTACAGGGGGCGCCAGCCCTGGATCAGATAAACCGAGGGGAGATACAAGTGGTGCTTGTGAGTGAGCTCACAAGGGAGGGGAGCGGTCAATGAATCAACGATTGGAAAACAGTTAGGGATAGGCGTATACCTACTCTGCATTGCTACGGAAGCGTCATGAATTGAGGTGCAAACAAGTGAACAAGGCAAAAGCTATCAAGAGACATCGTACCACGCATGGCAAGACACCAGCTAATCCAAATAAAATGATGGGATAAGTCATCCGCTAGTCATTACAACCTGTATGCAAATATCAGCAGCAGCCCTTGCCAGCCCTCCCCTAAAACACCTACCACTAACTCCACTGATTACACCATTAAGCCGTCTTATTTTACCCCCTCTCTCCCCTATCTCACTCTCTTTGGGAGCGTGCGCTGCGCCGCCGCAGCGAATCGCGATTATGGAGAGCGGCGCGCCACCGGGCCGGCGGCGGCGCGCGCTTTTTTACCGCCGGCGCGCGGCACGTGCAGCGCGCGGGGTGGTGATGTGCCCGGTAATGCGGCGCGGGCGCCAGTTTCCGGCGCGAGCGGGTCGAGTTGTGGCGGCAGTTCCGCCGCCGCCGCCGGGTGGTCGGTGACAATTTGTGACGCACGCTGGCTAATTTGTGGCGCAGAGCGGCGGCAGCGGCAGAGGACCGCTCGTTTCGATCGAGAGCGATGTTTGATACGCACGCCGGGAAAAGAATCCATCGACGAATTTCGAAGATAACTGCGAAGTCTGTTCGTGATTTGGAAGACCGGCTGTGCTCCCAAGGTTTTGCACTCAAAGGATAAAATGCAAGTTTTAAATCAGCTGCATTTGCTGGCGCTGTTTCCTTGTTTTAGCTGATCTTCTCTTTTCTGACAAATTTAGAAACACTTGCATCTCAAATCCCATCCAATTTTCTCCGCCAACCTCTCGAAAGTCACCATCAAATACGGCGGAAAATCAGACCACTCTCTCCACATTCACCGAGCAGGACCCACAACAAACACCCCGTCTCACCACCAGCACACCATCACCAGCCGCCTCTGGACCGGCTGTGTCGGCCGCCGGGGCACCGGAGCGTTCAGGGGTGTAACGACATCATACGGACCCCGGCCGGCGGCGGCGCGGCCGTGTTAACAGCGTCACCGCGCGCCAGATTAGCCCGGGGACAGACGGCGCGCGGCGCGCCGGTGATTTCACGGCGCTCCCGCGGCCCGCCGAGGAGGATTAGCGCGCCAAAATCGCCGCGGAATGACGGCCGAGACCGCCGGCACCGGCCAGAAATGATCCAGATATGACTCGGTGATGAGGAGATGAGACTTCGGAGACGGAGAAATATCGCGAAATACCGGTGACAGTTTCTTTGTCATGGTTTATGGGATGTCGTTTGTTTGGAGAAATTAATTCTGGGGCTGGTCTGAAACTGAAGAGTCCGCAGAATTAGCTATTTCTGAGCTATCAATCCATGGAACCGGAACTTTCAGCGCATAAAACAATAATTACTTTTATACAAAGCCTAGGATCCTCACAAAAAGACCAGCCTTAGATTTTATGCTTGGACCAATGTTTCTCAGTGACTGCTAGCAATCTCAAACCAGCTGACCACCCACAATTTATCCCTAAAAAATCACAGATCGACTTTCCATCGACTTCTGTAGATCCCCAGCGAACCCTCGCTGACATCTCTCTCTCTCTCTCGGTGTGTGGATTTTCTCCAGCGGGGCGCATCCGGAGCATCGCACGCGGCGCCGGAAGTCGCCACATCCGGTCTCCGATGGAGCGGCAATATTGATCGGCCATCGTCCGCCGGGGGTCCGGCCGACCTCTCTTCGTCTTCCAGCGGAGAGAGATACAGCCGAGACGGAAAGACAGATAGACGGGAATGGAGGCGGGGGTTTGTGGAAAGACGAAACAGGAATGAAGGCATGAAGACCAAACATGACTGAAAAGACTGAAGCGAGAAGGATAGGTAGATGGGCAATTATATGATCAATTGCAGCTGGAGAGCCCTGAACAGACGGGAGCTACAGTCTGTAGCTCAGTCTGTACAGTGTATAGTCACCACTCAATTCTTCATGAAAACGACGAAGCCATGAATAGCGTTGAAACCAGCGTAGAGTTTGAGGTTGACTGAGGAAGACACCATTGAAGTACATGCACATCCAAAATCTTTGCCCCCCTGCCGCGGCAGCCTGTGTTCCCCCTGCCGCGGCAGCCCCGGGCTGCGGCAGCTCTGCGGGCTCTGGTCCGGCGGGGACCGGGGAGCAGCGATCGACCGGCCCGACAACGTGACCTGGGTGCTGCGGTTGGACGCCTGAGCGCCTCAGACCGGTCCGGAGGACGGCCCCCTTCTTTGCCAACTGTCTCTAGCCGGAGCGACACGGGCTCGGCTTTCGAAATCGCCGCCTTGGAGAACTGGGTCCATCTTATTTTAAATCAACGTAACAATACACGTAGATGTAAAATGGGAAAGAGTTGCGAAACGCTTTCTATTCTATTGTTGATACTTGAAAGAACCTTGTCCAGATAAAATGTGAAAAATATTGTAAGGTTGTCTCGTTGAATAAGGAATTGTTTTCCGAAAATAAAACCAAGTAATCCACGGGATCGTGAACCTCACTTTCAACCCACGAAGATCCCGGACGATAACTCGACGTCACCGGGTTTATATCACCGTCAGCAGCCTGACAGTCGTCTCAAATGTCACCGGGTGACCCGGTGTCAGCCTGAGACGTCAGACGGTGACACGGGGTCGTGTCGGCCGATAAATGACACGCTCTGCCGCCGCGGGGGTGGCTGACACTGTGGCGCGGGTAAGTGTCAGATGGTGGCACATGTTTCCAGTGTGACGTTAGACGTGTTTGAGGCTTGTGATAGTGCAGCTGAGTTGAGCAATATGCTCATGAAAATAATATTATCTGGATATACCGTATTCCACTTCCAGCTATGATGGAAATTGTCCTCGAAGTCCACTGACATTTGCATTCGGAAAAATGAACAGATTTGTTCAGATCAGAGTTGAATAAGACAACAAAATACTTGAGTATACTTGAGTAAGAGTTGCCAGACAACGATTGACGCACAAAACAGCATTAACACCCCACATTACGGGAACACAAGTTATTTGTTTCACACTCCACACCAAACCAACAACATTCAGCACATAAAACAGATCAAGAAGAGCATTACAAAGTGAAACACATCAACACGTTTTCAGAACGCATTATTTAGACCAAAGGCTGCACAATTCTCCAGCCACATCAGTACACAAATCCCTTGAAGCAAACAGACGACAAAGTGCCATCAGATTCACCGAACACACCAAAACAAATAATCAAAATCATCATCATCCACCACCGACAGCTGAGGCTAGTTCAGCACCCGTTTGGTTCCTCAGGCGCCATTCCACCAGCCTTCCCCGTCCCCCAGCCACCCTGAGCCGCCCTCAGCAGGCGCTGCTAACCCACCTGCTGAGGATCTTGCTGACGCAGCCGTGGCTGACGCGCAGCTGGCGGCTGATGTCGCACGGGCGCACGCCGTTGTGCGCCAGCTCGACGATCTTGTGGCGGACCATGTCGGGCAGCGGCCGGCCGTTGACGAACACACCACCCAGCTGGTTCACACCGCCGTGACCTGAGGTCAGCCAGGCGGCCGGAGGTCAGAGACGGCCGGAGGTCAGCCAGACGGGCGGAGGTCAGACGGGGAGGGGTCGGAGGAACCTGAGGTCAAACAAACAGATGCTAGAGGCAACATCTCGGAGTCAGAGTGAGAAACAGGCCAGGTCGGAAAAGAATATCAAATGTTGAAAATGTAAAAGCTGAGGAATATGATTTGAGGCTGCATTTGAAGTGGAACCCAGACCGTTTTTCCATCGTTTTCTCACTGTTTAACCTTTTGCTTCTTAACTGGACTTTTATTTTTGCCACTCGAGCCATTCTACCAAATCTAAGGTCATTGATTCCGGCAGTATATTCAATGTAATACGGTTCGGCCGGGCGGTCTCTGATAATCTAACCACGCCTGTCGACCGCCAACCACACACAGTGCACGGCTCATCGCTCCGGGCCGGTCATCATCCTCCCGTCCTCTCTCCTTCTCCTCCCCTCTGCCCGCCGGTCCACTCAGCCATTCTCCGTCAGAGGAGACGCATATTCTCCGTGGCAGATGTGATAGACGGCAGACCCCGTCAGCGGTAGCCAGAAAGGGGAGGAATACAGACCGAGAAACGCACCAGATACAGATTCCAGGAATAGCCGCGCGTGGATATGGGTGTGTTGATGCTCTATTGTGAGAAAGCAAGCTAGCAATTGCTTTTCTACGTTTTGCAGGCCAGCTGACTTGCAAAATCAGATTCACAATCACGTAGACCGATCTGTTTCATGCGACCTAGCTACTCATATGTCACGTCAGATTTCCCATATGACATACGGCATATTTTCCATATGAATATCGCCGTCATTACCGATTCCCCGTGATTATTACACCGATCATTGCATATTATGCAGGCGACAGGAGCGATCTCTATCACAGCCTGCACCAATCAATCTCGTGCAGTCGCGCATTGGAGATCCTCCACCGAATATATCCGTAATCTCCATGCTAACGACTCGTTAAAAACTCCCATCGATGATTAATACATGCCGGCTGCGACTCTGCGCCACTGGCAATGTATCACTGGGGCGGGCGGTCGCTCTCAAAGGTAGCCAGAAAGGGGAGGAATACAGACCGAGAAACGCACCAGATACAGATTCCAGGAATAGCCGCGCGTGGATATGGGTGTGTTGATACTCTATTGTGAGAAAGCAAGCTAGCAATTGCTTTTCTACGTTTTGCAGGCCAGCTGACTTGCAAAATCAGATTCACAATCACGTAGACCGATCTGTTTCATGCGACCTAGCTACTCATATGTCACGTCAGATTTCCCATATGACATACGGCATATTTTCCATATGAATATCGCCGTCATTACCGATTCCCCGTGATTATTACACCGATCATTGCATATTATGCAGGCGACAGGAGCGATCTCTATCACAGCCTGCACCAATCAATCTCGTGCAGTCGCGCATTGGAGATCCTCCACCGAATATATCCGTAATCTCCATGCTAACGACTCGTTAAAAACTCCCATCGATGATTAATACATGCCGGCTGCGACTCTGCGCCACTGGCAATGTATCACTGGGGCGGGCGGTCGCTCTCAAAGCCTCTGTCGCTGCCCGCGTGGCCCGGCTCTTCACCGCGGGCCGAACCCACGAGGACTCACTGTTATGAGCCAGGTAGTGCACCCAGCCGGCCGTGTTATTCAGACTGTATTCACAAGAGCAGCGGCACAATACCGAACCAGCACCTGCGTGCCTTTTCACAGCCAGCGCTGGTAGATCGCTGTAAATTGTGCTGTGCGCGCGCCGCGACATAGACCCAGTGTGGGGGAGCACAGGGATGTGTTCAGAGGGTCACTAAGCTGCACCTCGTGGCCCATAGGGGGATGATGGATGAATGAACTACAGCATTTACCGTTCTGCGGTTTTCTGCGGACACTGTCCACTGAGAGTTCATAGAAAACCGCGTGAAACACAAAACAGCTTGAAAATGCAGCTGGCAAGAGACACACGCGTCGAGCATTTGTAAAGGGGATACACCATACTGACATGTGTGATCCGGATAATCCATCGCAGTTCCGTATGATCACACCTTTTAAGGTTGACATTTTTTCGTCTTACCATGACAGTTGAAAGCTTCAAAGATCCATGAATGTGTCTGCATTTTTGTCTGCACAGACTTCGCGTTAAATTCTTCGCAATTTTCACTAAAATAGCAGCCGTCAGGAACGCACGCGCAGTGCAAACACTCAACTCACACGCATACCCACACGCCAGGACATTCGCTCGCTAACTGGCCAGTCTCCTGATAAAACAAGGGGTCACCCAGCCAGTGGCCCCCGGTCACCCCTCCCCTCACTCTCCCTCCCTCTTCCCCTCTGCCCTGCGGGAGGTAGCGGCCACTTCAACCGGCTTTGTGGGGTTTATTCAGTGGCGGTATCACTATTCTGGGGAGGGGAGGGGGACCATGGGGCCGGGCCGGGGACGGACCGGGGACGGATCGGGGAGGGTCGGAGGGTCCGCGACTCCCCTGACACCCCAGGACGGCAGGACCGGAGCCGATTGTCCCGGAAAATACCTCTGTTCGGCACGCGCAGACGTCCACCAAACTCCGGCGGCTCACCTGGCGTACACCTTTTGCCCTCCCGAGAGACCCACGTGCAGTTTGACAGTGTCTTTCAGCCTGACGGAGGTGAGAGGTGCACAAAGGTGTATGACCGTCCCAAGGGTCCTCAATGGAGCGGGAATGGGAAGTAATGAAGTCGGGAGAATGGTAGAGATCGCATACCGGGGACAGGGGGAGGGGTTGGGGGGGGGGGGGGGAGGGGGAGGGGACAGCCTCCTCTGGCCGCCAGTTGGGTGCGGTATGGGCTACACAACCAGGCACCAGCGGAACTAAAGAGACTCAAAATGACGGTCACGTTGAGTATTTGTTTTGAAATGAGAATCCTAAACCATACGACACTATTTTTTTAAATATGTTTGGCTGCATTTTCATTTCATTGAATTTGAAACAGATCCAAACAAAGCAACAAAAATAATATAAATTTGCCCCAAACGAATCCTCGCTGTCGCTAGTTAATCCAAGAAATCACACAGTGATATTCCGGAAACGTTCATGGTAGTCTCAGGGCAGGCAGGGTCAGGTCGGAGGCGGGGAGGGGGGGGGGGGTTGCGTGACAGCGCTCCCTGACATGGGACCCGTCCATGACTCCCCATCTGTCCTGTACTAGTGACACCGCCGACCCGCCCTCAGTTTCCGGGGTGGAACGCCTGTCAAAACGTCAGTCCGATAGGCGCCTGGCTGAAATATCTATCGCCGAGATCGGGAATCCACGTGAGCTAACGCACGGACTTGGCTTCAATCACGCTGCGTTCGGAAATGACAAGGCAATGAACCGGCGTGGGATTGGTCCGAGAGTTATTGCTGACATTTTGACAATATCGCCATGTCAGTTATTACCTACGCTCCTTTTAAACCAACAAATTTCTCATGGCAGTTAAATATGAAGATAGATGAATACTGTCCATTTCTTTTCCTTCTTTTGTTTTGAGTTCAGGTTTGGAAACAAATTTACACGACCAGATGTTCCGTTATATGTAAATAATTTACAAATGAGCTCTAAAAGAAGTTTATCTTTGCTTGAAATCCTACCTCCCTAAATGCGGCTCACAAAGCTTACACTTGTCGACAGCCGCCCAACAAAAGGCGCGTTCGGTAAATCCCATAACAAAACACAACTGTATCGCCTCTACCATCAACACAACCACGAGCCAGTCCCCCAAATCTCCCTCTGGCTAGAACAGGTGTCTCCGCGCCCGGGGGAGACATATCTCCGCCATCTCCCATCTCTTCCACCCATCTCCGAACCTCACATATTCACTTGTGCCGAGTGATCAGTGCCGATATCTGGCAGCCTGACCCGGCCGTCTGGCAACTGGAGCCGGCGCCGGCCCCGCGGGAGAGCAGTGTTGAAAGGTGGATAGTGAAGCCGACTGGTTAGTGGTGCGATGGTACTGGTGATTAGAGGAGGGCACGCTTCGAGCTGTTAGTGGGAGGAGTGGTGACTGAGAGAGGATGTCACCCGACATCACGTCATCGAGCGTGATGTTGGACCGTCCGGAGGTAATAGAAATGAGGCATTTGTACCACAATGTGGCAATAAATTTGAGCTTGACAACAATCACTTCAGTGTCCTTTCATTCGCCACTACCTACAAACACAAGTTATAAATAAATAAATAGGTATACCTATCGTCAAAACAATGATTAATGCTTCAATCGTTTTATGCAATTCCAATTTTATGGGAGCTCAGTAGTGCGCTAGGCTAATATGCTGATGCAAATGCTGTCTAATTACAAAAAAGGTAGGGAGGAGCAAAAGGAGACTTGTCTATTATGGACATGGGTGATTATAATTTAGCCAGCTCATCTCATGGTTCAAAATGATTCAGTGCTCATTCCAATCATTCTACCCCCACCAGCCGTTCCACCGGTCTCCGCCGTCCCATCCCATCGACATCGACGACCCGGCCTCGTCGGCTCCGACCATGTCGGGGAAGTCGGCCGGACTCTCCGGCAGCGGAGGTGCCCCCGGCAGAGAGGCCAGTGCTCCAATCGCTACCATTTCAGCGACGGATGAAATGGCAAGAGCCGATGGGGAGACCGAATGGATGCGCCGTTGGGAAGGATATGAATGTCGAGGAAGAAATATCCGCACACTTTTAGAGATAGAAAAATTAGATCAATGAATACAAATATAACTTACAAAATAAGAACTGAAAATTCTGAGAGGTACAAGGTCAAAATGGTTTATGTTTCGACAACACATTTCAAAAGGCGTTTATGAAGCAAAGCCTCGCCTCGATTTCGGTACTTACGAAAATAAAATCCATTACACTGAATCAGTTTGCCAGTACCTTCAAGGTAATTTATGCCGCATTTCATTTAGTCACGCCGCTTTATTTTAGAGCTAATAAGTCAGGCCAGGGTCTGCAGGCACCTGGGCGTAACGAATCTCAGTGCACTTCC